TAATCCTTGATTGCTTTGAATAAAGTCCAGTTGTGGAGCCAGGCACCTCCTGGGTCAGATCACCCACCCCCTTCTCTTCTTCACAGACTGCCAGGCTGCAATCATGCTGATTAAATTCAGTGAGGGCTCAGCCTCTTTTAGCTAGAAAACAATACAGTCCTAAGGTTTTTGCACTTATCTTACTTGACTGTTTGGGGGGAAAAATCACTAACATATAAAATTCATCTAAGGTGTGCAAGCCAGTGATTTTTAGTAAATGGCCAAGTTATGAATGTTAAAACTTATTTGTGATAAAACACGCTGTCAGTCCTCAAATCTCCCTTCTGTTTCTAGTCACCCGGTTTTGACCACTAGCTCAGGCCAGCCACTGATCTGCTTTTGTCCGGATAGAACCCCCCTGCTCATTACCTGACACTTTCCTACAGCTGGAGTATTTCTGGTCCAGTGTGCAGGCATTCACCTAGGGAGCTCTCTGTCTGAGTCGGTCACTTGACTTTACCACCTTCTGCTCATGCTCAAGCTTCTCTTGGCTTTCTTCTTGTGTGAACCTGCTCCTTGTTCAACAAGGTGGCTAGGCTCATTAGGAAAGCTGAGCTTTTTTTCCCTTCTCCAGAAGGTAGGAAACTTGAATAATGTTATGTACAAAATGGATACTGAAAATTATTTACTAAATAAAGGAATCCATGGCCTCTAAGGTGTGGACTATCTTACCTTCTAGGATTTTGAGCATAGTACACATAAAGATACTTTAATATTATTTTATTTTAGAGACAGGGTCTCTCTATATCTGACTGTCCTGGAAGTTACTATGTGGATCAGTCTGGGCTTGAACTCACAGACAGGGATTGCCTGCTTCTGCCTCCTAAGTGCTGGGATTAAAGGTGTGTGCTGCCACACCCAACTATGGCCCAACTATTATTTTTAATTTTGATAAGGAAAATGGCATAGTTTTTAACTAAAACAATTCATGCTTGATAGCTTGAAAAGTATAGAACAAAATAATGTCTTTTTAACTATTTCCTTTTTTTTTTTCCAATGTGTATTGGTGTTTTGCCATGGGTGTTGGGTCCCCCGGAACTGGGATTACAGACAGTTGTACACACGCACACACGTGCATTTGTGGGTTTTTTTTTTTGAGACAGGTTCTTAGTATGTTGCCCTGATTAGCTTAGAACTTGCTTTGTAATTCAGACTGACCTCAAATTCACAGGGATCTGCTTGCCTCTGCCTTCTGTATGCTGGGATTAAAGGTATGTATTGCCTTATCAGGCCTACATACACCCAATTTTTGAAAAGAAAAAAAAGGAAATCATGGCACATTCTTATAACATGGAAGAGCCTTGAAGGCATTGTTTTGAAACACATCCGTTACAGAATGGCAGATGTGATGTAAGTCCACTCCTGTGAGGTACCTAGAAGAGAAAAATCTATACACACAAGGTCGAACAGTGGTTGCAAGGGTTGTTGAGGAGGAACAGCGGGTCGGTGTTTAACGGCTAGAGAACTTCAGTTTTTCAAGATGAAAAGCGTTCTGGAGATGGCCAGTGGTGGAGATTTCACAACCGTGTAAACAGACTGTGGAACTGCACACAGTTAAACATGGGTAAGATGGTATGTGTCTTTACCTCCTTTTTTTTTTTATTCCAAGACAGGGTTTCTCTGTGTAGCCCTGGCTGTCCTGGAACTCACTCTGTAAACCAGGCTGGGCTTGAACTCATGGAGATCCACCTGCCTCTGCCTCCCGAATCCTGGGATCAAAGGCATGCGCCACCATTGCCTGGTTTGACCCTAATTTCTAAAATAAATGAAAAAGAGATTGAAAAATGTGATGGAGAGATGGCTCAGCAGTTAAGAGCACTTGTTCACCAGGTTTGGGTCCCAACACCCACATGGTGGCTCACAGACATCTGTAACTCTAGTTGTTGGGGACCTTATGTCCTCTTCTGAATTCAGCAGGCACCAGGTATACACAAGGTACACCTATATACGTGCAGGCAAAACACTCCTATATATAAGATAAATTCTGAAAAGAGATTTGTAGGGAAAAACCAAACAGTGTTTTTAAAGTTAAAACATTATCTAAAAGACTCCCTTTTGGGAGTAACCTGTATTAAAACATGGTGATTATTTTTCTAAACATCTTTCTCAATGGTATATAGGTTTCAAGTCTGGGGAAGCCTTTGGTAACCACTTTTTTGTTATATATATATATATAAAATTTATTTATTTTATGTTCATTGGTGTTTTGCCTGCATGTATGTCTGTGAGAGGGTGTCAGATCTTGGAGTTACAGACAGTTAATGTCTGTGAGAGGGTGTCAGATCTTGGAGTTACAGTTGTTAGCTGCCATGTGGGTGCTGGGAATTGAACCTGGGGCCTCCGGAAGAGCACTCTTAATCACGGAGCCATCTCTCCAGCCTGTAGCAGGCTTTTTCTTTTGAGCCACCAACCAGCTCCTGTTTTCCGTTCTTTTGAGCTCATCTTTTCCATATTGCACACAGAAGTGAGATCATGCAGCATTTCTCTGTGTCTGCTTGCTTCACTTAGCATAATGTGCCAGTTCTACAGTTCCGTTTTTAATGGCAGAATTTAGTTCGTTAAAGGCTACATAGAGAGGTATTTTTCCACAGTTCCTTTGTCCACCGATGGACTCTTATTCCTTGGCTGCTGTCAGTATAGTTGCTATGAACATGGAGTACAGATATTTCTTCAAGACATCAATTTCAGCTATTTGCATACCAGGAAATAGGATTGTGGGTCATGTGGTAACTCAATTTTTTTTTGCTTTTGATGAACCTCCATACGATTTTCAAAGTGGCTATACTAATTACAACCCCACCAACAGGTGTATAAGGTTCCTTTTAATCTGTATCCTCACCACCATCTGTGGTTTATCACACTTAACATTACCCTTTTGGTAATAATAGCTATCCTCAGAGATGTGATGATATATCACAGTTTTAATTTTCATTTTCTTGGTAGTTAGAGATTTGAGCATTTTGTCAAATGTCTGTTGGCTACTCATCTCTCTTGAGAAATGTCTGTTCAGATCTATTGCCCATTTTCAAAGAGATATAGCTCCATTCTTCATGGTGGTACACACCTTTAATGCCTGCAGAGGCAGGCAGATCTCTGTGAGTCTGAGGCCGGGCTGGCCTACAGTCTAGTGAGTTTCAGGACAGTCAGGGTTACATAGATAGACCTGTTTCAAAAATAAGCAAATAAAATTATAGATTGATTTTTTTTTCTTCTCATTTTAACAACAGAAGTTTTATGGATAGCAAAGACTTTAAAGTAACAACAGCAACAACAGGGTCTTACTATGAGCCCAGGATAGCCTTGAATGCATCACAGCCCTCTTGCTCCAGTCTCCCAGCTGCTGAGATTACAGATGTAGCCATCATACCTAGTTTCAAATCTTTTTGTCTGTCTGTTTGTTTGTTTTTCAAGACAGGGTTTCTCTGTTTAGTCCTTGCTGTCCTGGAACTCACTTTGAACCAGGCTGGCCTCAAACTCAGAAATCTGCCTGGCTCTGCCTCTCAAGTGCTGTGATTAAAGGCCTGCGCGACCACCGCCCAGCCTCAAATAATTCTTTAGAGATTCAAATACTCATGACAGTTTTTGTTTGAGAAATTAATGCTTTAGTCAAATTGTGAGTAAATAAATTGCTAACCTGTGAGGCTAACCTTAGTTATCAATTTGACACACCAAGAAGAGGGAACGTCAACTGAAGAACTGTTGCCATAAAATTGGCCTGTGAACCTGTCTGTGGAGTATTGCCTTGGTTGCTGATTGATGTCAGGGAACCTAGTCTTCTGTGGGCAGTACCATCTGTAGGTAGGTGGACCTCTGCTATATAAAAAAGGGAGTAGAATGCGAGCTTGGGGACAAGCCAGTAAACAGTGTCCCTCAATGATTTCTGCTTCTCCTCAGACTTCCCTCGGGAATGGGCTGTGACCCGGAAGTGCAGCCAAATAAACCTTCCTCCTTCAAGTTGCCTTTGTTCACTGTTCTAACACATCAACAGAAGAGCCAATTAGGACATAACTGAATGACTACGTGTTAGGTGTTGGTGATGCAAAGATGATTCCAAGGGGTCATTGCTGCTCAGAGAGACCCCAGTCTCACAAGGAAAGATGGTTAGAATAGGGTAGGGATGTGGGGGGAATGTAAGCATTTACAAAGTCCATAAGTCCAGTGAAAGGAAATACTGAATTCTGCCATGGAGATGCCTGAGCAAGAATTTTAAAGGTGCTAAATTGTGCCCACTTAGTAAATAAAATTGTACCATAACCAAATATCTTATATTGTGTGGCTCAATTGATAGAGATTAACTTCCCATAGTTCTAGAGGCTGGGAGTCTGAGGTCCCAGTCCCAGTTCTGATGATGGCTCTTTTCTTAAATAAAGCTACTTCTTACCATGTCTGTAAATGACAGAGGAAGGAAGATGTCTTTCTCCTTTTTAAGCTACCAGTAAGAGGAGGGTCCCACCATTAAGGCTTCATTTGACTATCACACTGGAGATGCAACTTGAGCAGGCTCCTTTGGGGTGGGGATGGGGGCCACAATTTGGTTCATAGCAGATAAATAGGCGCCTGCTGGGCAGCCATGGATGGGTAGTGTCAGGTCAAAAGCACAGAGGCTTAAGACAGGCTATATTTTTAGAGCTACAACTGGGCTTGAAGATGCTGGAATATAAAGTAGAAAGCATGTCACACTTTTGAAAGATGGAGCTAGAGTTGTACGGGTGAAGTCCTAGAATTTAAGAAGGACTTGCTGGGCAGCAGTGGTGCACGCCTTTAATCCCAGCACTTGGGAGGCAGAGGCAGGCAGATCTCTGTGAGTTCAAGGCCAGCCTGGTCTACAGAGTGAGATCCAGGAGTCATGAGGAGCTTTTAAACAGACGACATTAAGTCAGATTTGCATTTTTTAATTTATTAGTTTATTTTTAATTTTAAAAATTAGATTTATATATTTTATTTCATGTGAGACTGTTTTGCCTGCATGTATGTTTATATACAATGTGTGTCCTTGGTGCCAGCAAGGGTTCAGAAGAGGGCATTGGATCATCTAGGATTGGAGTTAGAGATAGTTGTGAACCGGCAATATGGGTGCTGGGAATGGATCCCAGATCTTCTGCCAGAGCGTTAAGTGCTCTCAACTGGTTACCTCTCCAGCATTTGCATTTTTTAAAAGTGGAATGAAGAGCAATTGGAGCTGCAAAGCTAATGCAGTCAGTCTTGAAAGCAAGGCCTGCATTGAACAGAAGGCAGGAAAGCCAGCAAAGAGGTAAACGCTAGCCCACGTTGGGAACCTGAAATACAGAACTGACCCGATGTGACCAGATGTGGGAGTTGAGAGAACCAGAGGAGGCCAGGTTGGGCTGTTGTCTGGCTCTCATAAAGAGGTTTGGTAATGGCGTGCTTGACATTTTACAGAATTAATAAAATGACTCATCCGTTTCCAGACTCTTCGGATAAGCTTGGGACTGCTTTGTAAACAGAAGCTGTATCACTCTTAAAATCTTCATAGTCTCAGGGTTTGTCTCTCATTAGAGAATGATTTGGAGAAGTTGGTCATCTCTTCTGCATCCATTTTTCACCTCTTTAAAAATGGGGAGGGGGGTTTGAACATGATCCTGTGTGGATTTTTGCTCCAACATTGTCTTGGATAATTTATTTTCCTTAGTCCATGTATCTTAATGCTCTGCTAAGTTTTGTAGATTACAGAAGTAAATGTGATGCTTGTCTTCGACAAAATGGTTTTGTTGAAGAAATCAGTTCATGGCATTACCACTAAAAAGAAGTAATATTTTTTGTAAATAGTAAACACTAATAAAAAGTACTATATATTTAAGGGATGATTTATGTACGGTAGAGCCTATATGTTCATTCATTCATTTATTCATTCATTCACTGATTCAATGATATCATGAAACTTAGTTTAGTGGGAGGATAATAATTAGTGTACAGGGCTCCTCACCATTTGTGGATGGGGACTATTTAAATTTCAGTTACCTATAGTCAACCATCGTTTGAAAATATGAAGTATAAAATTCCAGAAACTAACAGTTGATGCGTTTTAAACTGTGCAGTGTCCTGAGTAGCAAACACAATGAAGTCTCATGGCATACAACTCCAGGATGTGAATCATTCTTTTGTTCAGAATGTCCATGTTCCCTATACTGCCTTCCTGTTGGTCAATTAGCAGCCATCTTCCTTATCAGATCTTCTGTCACAGCTTTACAATGTTGTGTACAAGTAACCCTTATTTTAATAATGGCCCAGAAGCCTGAGAGTAGTGACATTGGTAATATGGATATGCCAAACAGATACAATAAAGCGCTTCCTTCCCTTAAATAAAAAATTGAAAATTCCCAATAAGAACAGAAAAAAAAAACATATTCTACGGTTATAAAGTATTGTCAGTCTCTAACTGTGCCTAATTTATAAATAAGGTTTTATCAGAAGTGTTTGTCCTACAAGAAATACAGTATAAATGGGACTTGGTATCACCTGCAGTTTCAGGCGTTCACTGGAGGTTTGAAACTTATCCCTCCATGGGATAAGTGCTACTATACCCACGGGGGTTCACCAAGTGAGGGAGTGCAGTTATTGGTCTGCTGTTGGTGTGAGGAGAGCTGCCTCTCCAAATGGGACTTTCAATCCCAGATCTAGGAGATGAGTCATAGGGTCTATGCAACAGGAGCGTCTGGGGGAAGTGCGGTCCAGGAAAAGGAAACAGTAATGCAGGCCCCATGGGTGGGAGCATGCTTGGTGATTTGGGGAGTGGTGAAGAGGCGGAGGAGGGGGTCCCTTGCAGGGGAGAGTGAAGAATTATTCAAGTTGGCTAGGCTGAAAAGGTGCCATGTCCTTATTACAAACAGGGGCAGGAGAAAGAAAGGACACTGTTTAGGAGGTAGTTACAGAAATGCTGGGAGGAGCTGACAGTTGCTGAGACCGTGAGGTAGCAGGGATCTGGTGAGTCCCGAGACATGGTGAGCTTTACAAAATATCCAGTCTACATGACAGAACCTGCTGATAGACTTGATGTGAGAGGAACTGAAGTTGTTGACCTGAGTGAGTGGAAGGATGGAGTTTTTAAAATATGGAGATAAGAAACTACAAGAGACACACGTCTATGGCAAAAAAAATCCAGACATTCCATTTTGTTCTGGTAAAGTCGAGTTGCTTCTTAGACCTTTCGGAACACTTGCCAAGAGGTGGCGTCAAGGAGGCCGTGAACTCACCCAAGTCTGGTTCAGAAGAGGGGCCAGGCTGGCCCCACACTGGTGGGATTTAAAGACTACCAAGTCGGGAAGTGAAGAGCGGAAGAATTGTCATATAGTGGAGCTTTGGGTCGCTCCAGGGTCTGGAGGTGACAGAGGAGAAGGACCAACAGAAAGAATGAGGCCACCCAGAAGCTGCAACCTAGGAGAATGTAGGGCCCGAAAACACATGAGTTTTGAGATGCAGAGAGTGACCAAGAGTGCCCTAACGAGATGGGTGGGAAGAACCCATGCTGGGGTGAACATATTATTCTGCCAGGTGGACAGAGGGTCAAACTGCTCTCTAAACCCACATCTCTATATCTGTAGAGTGGTCCGCAGCCCTCAGACCTCACCAGGGACGTTTCTCTGTGTGGATGATGGTTAACGTAGAAGCTCAAAACTGATCAGAGTGCAGAGCGTCAGCGGAAGATAAGACGTCCGTGTTTCCCCAGTCCAAGGCTCAGGGACCCTGGCAGAAGAAGGGGTGGGAAGAGTCTGAGAGCTGGAGGTCAGTCATGGAGGACCAAGGGAGAACAGTGGCTTCTGGACACCCGTGAACTCAAGGCACTATAGCTGCCTGCCCAAGATCAAGCCTGTCAACGTTCTAGCGGGGAGGGGAGAGGGGCTGGTCCCCCAGCTGAGAAACCACAGACAGTCCATAGCTTCAAGGGGAGGAAGAGATGGCTTTCTTTAAGGGTGTGGCCTTTGAAGAAATGCTTCAATGGGGGCCCCACATCTAGAAGTACACGGGCGGTACAAATTGACGGATTATTAGAAAAAAAGAAAAGACAAAAGAGAAGTTAGGGGACTTTAGTAGGGAAGTGGGGTGAATGTGATCAAAATACATTGAATGAAATTCTCAGAGAATTGATAAAAATAAGAAATAAGTTAAAAAAAAAAACCCAACCAAGCCATGTCCCCTGAGTATGGGTAGCTCTGGCCTTTAAACCTAGCACTAGGGAGGCAGAGGCAAGCAGATCTCTGAGTTTGAGGCCAGCCTGGTTTATATTATATAGCCAAGTTTCAGGAGAGCCAGGGCTACGGACAGAGACCCTGTCTCAAAACAACAACAAAATACCACCAACCAACCAACCAACCAACCAACCAACAACCAACCAACCAAGCTATGTTCAGTCAGGCAGGGGAGAGGACCAGTCATTCTATTCATTACTTTATTATTCCTGAGTATTGTCACTGTGAGGTTTGGTTAGGTCTGACTGTTTCAACTGTAGGAGGGAAGATGGACAGGGTCATTTCCATAAAAACCATTCATTTCTGATACCAGTTTCTGCTACTGATTGGCCCTGGATCGTGGGCAGGACTGTCCGCTTGGTTTTTCTTCCCTTGGTCGCTGAGAGTTGTTCCAAACTCATTCATTCGCTCCGATTAGAAATATTTATCGAACGTCTGCCCTGTGTGTCGACTCTAGGTCTTTCTTGTTCAGATAGATCTTACTTCTCACGTGCAAGACTTCACCTTGCCCATGGCACTTGGCTTCCAACCTTCCACACTGGGGTTTTTCCAGCCTACCTTGTCCAGCCGCAGTTCTCCGCGTGGGCGGGTGGAGAGAGGCCTGAAGTCGGTCAGCCCACAAAGGGCCTGGAAGGGCTCTTTGGACACTAGGAGCGGTATGCAGATGAGGGGGCGGGCCTCGCTTGACAGACAGCAAGGAGTTGAAGGGGGCGGGCTGCAGGATGCAGATGAGAGGGGCGGGCCATGCCCGGCCGACTTGGAGGAGCCCAAGGGGGGGGCGGGTCTCGCCTGACAGACTACAAGGAGTTGGGGGTGGGTGGGACACGGGCGGGTCGAGTCATTCAGGCGGGATGCAGATGAGGTGGGCGGGTCGCACCAGGCGGGTCGCGAGGCACCCGGAGGGCGTGGCGTATGCAGATGAGGGGGCGGGGCCCGCCCGCGGGCGAGGAGCGGCTCCCTGGCCGCCGGGAACTGGAAGGCGCTCGGCTCTTTCTTTGACTGGAGCGGACCAGCGGCCACCGCCGCCGCCGCCGCCGCCGCCGGCTTCCCTCGCCCGAGCAGGCGCGCGCGCTGCGGCACGGCACGGCAGCCGCTCGGTCCGGGGCCCGCCAGCCCGCGGCCATCGGAGTCTGCCGACCATGGGCAACCACTCGGCGAAGCTGGAGGAGCCCGAGCCAGGTCTGTGGGGTGCGGGTCGCGCCCCCTTAGCGCCACGCCCTTCCCCCCACCGCGCGCGCGCGGCCCGCCTCGCAGGGGCGCGGGGCAAGGTGAACTTCCCCGGGCCCGTGAGTCTCCGCTCTGGAATGCGCTAATGGGGTTGTGAAATTACCTGTGCTCGCCGGGCCACCAGCCGGGGCGGGGCGGGCGTTGCAGGCGGCGGCGGTCCGGCGGGGGTCCTCCCTGTGTCCCTGGTCCCCACCCCTCCCCCCCACAAGCTAGGGGGGCATCCGAGATGAAAAGTGTGACTTGGCAGTGCTTTTCTGGTTCTTTGTCCATTTTGCAGTGTGCCATTTGCATACCACTCACTTTCTGGAGTCCCACGGAAGGTGGCGGCCCGTCAGCTGATTTTGTTCCTCGTGCTCAGACCGAGGACTTGATTGTGACTTGATTCTGACCCAAAACAATCTGGGTCTCTTCTAGGATGCCAGAAACTTACCGGTGTATCAACTTTTTATTTGCTTGCGGCTGAAGGGAGCTCGGTGGGGAGTCAGCTGGATTCCGGTTTTCATCCTCTCTTTGCTCTGACGGGACTCCCTCCGCTCACGTTTAGATGCTGAACACCACGGGTGTATTTAAAACAGCAGAACTGTCATGTGAATTAAATGGGATTTAATTTAGCCGCAAAAATGGCACTCTGGCCTATTGGGAAGATTTTGTGGCAGGTTGACCAGTCAGAGCTATTAAAGTTTTTTCAAAGTAGTAGTGATTTTTTTTTTCATAGATCAAGCCTTTTTTTACTATCTGGAAAAAAAAAAAAGCTTCCCGTTTGTTCAGCTTTCTGACTCCGCTTACGCCTTCACCACTATTCCATTTACTGTTCCTTAGGAAGGAAGGAATACACCCTTGGGTCACATTTTGTGCACATGAAACCTCCTTAGGCGGCGCTAACTCATTTTCTGTTGGTTTTAGACTTAGGTCTCACAGCGGGAGCCCCCCTGTCTGGGCACACAACACATGCAAATTTGGGTGCTATTTTGACCTTACTAGGTAGAGTAAGGGTTCGAGACAGCCCAGTCTTGTCAGAGGTTGTATTGTAGGAAAGCCCAGGTTGATGTGTCCAACACAGGACCCTTCTCAGTGCCTCAAAAGCAGCCCCCTGCAAAAGGAAGAGCAATCACAGTAGCAATTTTCAAGTGTTTAACTTGGAAGGCAGTTATGCTTCCCACTGTATCACCAAGGCTGAAACTTTTAACTTGAGGACGTTATAGAGGCTCTAAGGGGAAGTGACTTGTCCAATGACTTACTCTCTGACTCCGGAGCGGTGCTCCATGTATGACCCAGTCGTCTTAACCTCCATCCATAGCTCTTCACTCACACCTTAGCCCCTTTGGATCTGGACCGACACTATTGCCTTCCTGACACTTGTGGTACATTGGACTGTTAGACCAGCCACTACTCAAAACTTTGACAGCCACACTGGAATCTGAGGGTGAAGAAAGAACACTCTTAGGGGTGGGTTACAGTGTAGATTACATAGGAGTCTCACACAGCAGTTATCCAAGAATAACCAATAAATGAAAATAAGGGTAATCTGTTGTTTATTCTACTGAGAAAAGTTTGGATGAGTTAACTTGCTGATGAACTAGGTAAAGGAGATACAACATTTAAAAATTACCTGTCAATGCCAAGTAATTGTGAGAGACTATTATCTCCTTTACTTAAAAAAATATGAGGAGACTGTTGCTTTTGTTGATCAGTTGTTTGGTATTAAGATTTCCAAGTGCCCTTACATTTTAAAGCTCTCCAATGACTAGGAAGTCAAAGGATATGTGTATGCCAGTGGCTTATTTTATCTTAATATTTGTATCCCTCGGATGGAACTCAGGGCTTTGCACATGCTAAGCACATGCTCCACCACTGAGCTCCATCCCCAGCCCTTTGTTGTGGGTCTTCAAAGTGAGTATAATTTCAGAATGGGAATTCAGTCTAGCTTGCCGCAAGGAAAGATACTTGATTGGGAATCTTGGCAAAGGCTTTAAATCCTGGACTCTGGCTGAAAGGATGACTGTAACTTCAACAACGCCTTTATGAAATGCTGTGAAACTTACCAGTGAGACTCTAGAAAGCAGAGTTCTGTGCAGGATGAATGTGCAGTTGTTGGTGCTTTGAGCTAGAATGTGAACAAGTACTTCTGCAGAGGACCAAAGACAAGGGTGGGGGTGGTAGGAGAGAGCTGGGAGGCTGGAGGAGGCAAGAACTCCTGAGTCTGAATGTCACCAAGTTCCGCCACCGAGTTAGTTGTATCCTTTGGGAAGTGACACTCAGGATTGCATGAGATTTGTTACAGGAAGGAAGACCAAAGGAAGACAAAGGAAAGAGGAAGCAGAATTGGTTAGGAAACCCTCAGAGGGTAATACAGATCCAGGGAGAGCCTCAGAATGATGCTGATCAGATGAAGTCTTAGCCTGCAGATGGGGTCTGCAGCAATGCTGACCACTGGAGGAGATTTTAAGTTTTCTACCCACCTGTCTATGGGAGGTCGTTGACCAGAAGCTGCTTGGTATGTGTGTGTGTGTGTGTGTGTGTGTGTGTGTGTGTGTGTGTGTGTGTGTGTTTTCACACATGTGTGCACCGAGTGGAATCCTAGGATCCTGGTGGCATTTGAATGATATGTTCTTTCTTAGGGCTTTTAGTCATGTCCCTTTAGGGCTAGTTGGCAACAGTACCTCAGATGTTTGGACGAGGAGGTTCTATTTAAAGGGTAAATGGGGTGAGTGAGATGGTTCAGGGGATGAAAGTGCTAGATACCAAGTCTTATTTTTTTTTTTTTTTTTTTTTTTTTTTTTTGATTTTCGAGACAGGGTTTCTCTGCGTAGCTTTGCGCCTTTCCTGGAGCTCACTTGGTAGCCCAGGCTGGCCTCGA